AGGGTCCTCAAAGCGTTTCAGGTTTAAAATCCCGTTTCCAGCCACCTTTTCCAGCTCCGGTAAGCATCTGATTTCTTTTTCTAACACGGGAAAGAAAGCCAGTGGGGTTCCATGTCATCTGGAATAAAAGGAATCACACATACGTAGCACATTTCATGCATCAATCTAAAAAAAGCTTGACAGACTTCACTTGATTAAGCATCACAACACCCCTGTGATAGCTCTGTAGGTTTTATTATCCCCGGGTGAGGCACGAGAGATTAAATACCGTTCCCAAGATCACACAAGAAGTCACTGGGACTAGAACGCAGGAGACCTGGGGCCCAAGCCCAATCACTAGCTAATACTCCCAAATGCAACGTGTTGCCATAGACGCCTGTAAAGGGTTTACACTGCACCCTACCTACTGTTTAATTCACTGGCAAGGTTTCTGTAAACCCAGCAAAGTTCAATGCTAAAGAATCACAAGCCAGATCCTCAGCTGGTGAAAGTCAGCATGTGAAGCCAATGGAGCTGTGCTGATTTACACCAACTGAGGATGTGGCCCCACACAGGGGCCTAAAACAAATGTGAGACGAGCCAGGAGAAGTGGCATAAAAGTCGTTGCAAGAGTGGAGATCTTTTAAATTAAAGCTCCATGGAATGCAATGGTGCTTTTGCCATCTGCTTTTGTTTGCACCCTGCTTCTTTTAATACTACATGACAGACGTTAATTCAAATGTCACACCTTTTTATGGAATAATATTCCCCCCCCTGAAAATCATTCAGGTTGTTGACTAAAATGCAAGCAAACAGAATATCGCAGCAAGCATAGCATACTGTGGACCAGCTGAATTCATGCCAATAGCTTCCAAAATATAAAACTTCAAACTAGGCCGAATTCAGCTTCTCTGCAAAAGAGATGAGACTTTGGAGTCGGGGGGGGATAAACATTTATGAGCAAATGGATCTCCTGTAGTGGGGCGATAACGGAACGAATTAGCTAGTGGTTCTTCTACTTCAACTGCCATCAGAGACAAATGATCAGGACCATGGAGATAGAACACAACCCCAGGATCAAGGTCCCCTGCTTTGAAAATAAATGTCCTGGCTTCTCTCTCTCTCTCTCAGGGTTTTTCTGTAGTGCCCATCGACATAGTATATGAGTGCTGAGCTGATAGATTTGATCTCCAGGCCAACGCCTAGTGGACTTCATAGGGGGCCACATGGAAACCCTTGGGTGCCGGGTATAAGGACTGCCCCTGTATGTGCCCCAGGGGCCAAATTGTCCCCAAAGGGGGCGGGGTGCCTGGGGAGAGCCGGCTAAACGATCCTAAAGGTTTATCTTCCTAAGCGCCGTACGCCCTGCTCAAGGCAGATGAAATGGCACAGTTTGGCCCAAAGCATTTTGCTCATTGTCCTTCCCATGGGCTAGGAAGGCCTGCTTGTTTGTTGTCTTCATTTTCTTCAGCCTTCATTATTTCCCACAAGTGCCCTAGCCTGAGCACCTCCAACAGGAGCCCTTCTCTGCCACGGCATTTGCTCAGCTTGCACTCTGCTGCCCCTTCTTGCACAGAGAGCATCCGCCTCCATTCAAACCGAGGCGCACCTCCCAAGCAGTAGCTGCCTACAGCTCAGCACAGCACAGCACTACACACACCCGTGGATCGCAGTACCGAGTATCTACAAGTCAATACAGCACTTTGAATACACGCACACACACACACACACATATACACACCACTTTGATTGTACACACACACATCACTTTGAATGTACACACACACGGATTGCAGTACTATCTACAAGTCAACACACCACTTTGAATGTACACACACACCCCACCTTGAATGTACACACACACACACACACACACCACTTTGAATGTACACACACACATCACTTTGACTGTACACACACATGGATTGCAGTACTATCTACAAGTCAACACAGCACTTTGAATGTACACACACCCACACACCACTTTAAATGTACACACACATACATACACACACGGATTGCAGTACTATCTACAAGTCAATACAGCAGCTTGAATGTACACACACACACACACACCCCTTGATTGTACACACACACCACTTTGAATGTACACACACACACGGATTGCAGTACTATCTACAAGTCAATACAGCACTTTGAATGTGTACACACCCACACACGTGTGCACCTCCACCCCCCAGACCGTTTTTACCAGAAGTCCTGACCTCCACAAAAGGATAACAAATCTCTTGGAGATGAGGTGTCATTATTTTGAATTTAAAAATACACAATGTTGTGGCCTCTTGTGACCATTTCCCGCCTCACCAGCTAACGTGACTGGTACATTTCAGTAAACAGGAAATGTTTTCCACACATCACATTTTCACTCCCGTTGACTTGAACGAAGAGGTCAGAAAACGAGTCCTCCACTTGTCTCCATGTGAGCTGTTGCTGGGTGGGTGGCTGATATGCTCTCAACAATGGATTGTGACCTGTTGCTATGAATAGGCGAGAAGACATGGGAAAGGATGGGTTAGAGCTAGAGGCAGTTGCTGGAGCTGATAACTGGGCCTGGATTGGATCTTTCCCAAAACTCAGGGGGGTTGAGTTTGGTGACCTGGGGATCTTGGGACATGAGATTGCTCAGCACGTCACATGAGTGCTCAGCACCTTGCAGAACTGAACTCACGACTGCACATTATAGAGCATTAGATCGACTCTGGATCTGAACTTCCCAGTGTGCAGGGTCTCCAATCTGTCCTCCTAGCTCTGGTTAGTTAGAGTTCTGTATTGCTTTCAGTGTATAATACATCTGCCTTAACCTGATCCAAAGGCCACGCAGATCCATGGAAGCCATTCCATGGATTTCAGTGGACTTTGGAAAAGGCCCTAAATGCACTATTCAGTACAACAGGCACTACCCAATAGGCACCCAGATACCATGGTGATGGGCGACAAAGAAATGCTTCTGAAAACAGTGCTAATAATAATAATGAATTGTACACAATTTGAAATTACATATTGTTAAAAATATCAAATTAAAATGATGGTAGGAAAAATAACAATGAAAGGGCTCCCACTAAGGAAAATAAGTAAATATGGGAAACAAATATTCAGCTGATTCAGCTAAGATTAAGTTCATGCTTAAGTGCTTTGCTGAATCGGGATGGGATCACTTGTGTGCTTAAAGTTAAGCACATGCTAAAGTGTTTTGCTATCTCAAGACCTTAAAACACTTAAGTTTGCACATAACTTTAGACGTGTGGAGTTGCTGTGATTTCACAGGAGTAAATGCTGTGCTGAATGGGGATGTCCAGACATGCTTAGGTGTGTAACTAAGTCAGGGTGTGAATAAAGATCTCACCCCTAGCAGCATAGAGAAACTGAGGCAGTGCAGCGCTAAAGATGTGTGCTGTGTTTTCAGATTATTTCCTTTCAGGTGGATTAGGTAAAATTAGCAACCGTTTCAAATATTTTACAAGGCATAGCAGGTTTTTCAAAATGCGATTTCTTTTAATCCACATTGTGAATTTCAATATTTTTAAAAAGGGAAAAATACATGAATTTCTACCCCACCCCCTTCCCCAATCTTTGACCGGCTACAACTGGTTGAACTTTGAATTGTGGGGAATTTTGAAATCCTCACAAAATGTTGATGAAAATATTGGTGGGTTGGCCTGGGGACAATATTCCCATGTTCTGATGGGCTGTAATATTATACATCCCAATATTTTCTTCTTCTGTTTCCCAATGAATGTAGTACGGATGCTAAGAGCCAGATGGCAATCTCTAGATAAATACTAAGGGAGGAAGGATGACCCGTTAGGTTCAGTTCCCAGCTTGACTATAGACTTCCTGTGTGATCTGGGACAAGTCCCTTATTCTACCCTGTAGCTCAGTTCCCCATCTGTAAAATGGGAGTAACACCTCTCTACCTCGCGAGGGGTATTGTGAGAATTACAAAAAAGATCCCTTAATGATTATGATGTATAATGCCATCCTTAGATATGAATAGATACAGTAATTAATAATAGATATAATTAGATATTAATCCAAATCCAGGCACAGCATAGACTGTGCAAGCTTCTCCCACCAGTGTGCCCTGAACTGAACCTAGAGAGCCATGTGAGAGCATTGGCTCCCAGCAAGCCACCGGCTGGGGACATGCATGCCTCCCCCTTGGGAACTTGACTGAGACTCATTTTGTGTAGGCTGCCGGACAGCCAGCAGATGCTACTGGCTTTCAGTCACTGCTGCCCTGGGATGAGTTCCAACCGCTGAAGCAAATAGGAAAGGCTCATTGTCTTCTGCCCGACGCAGCTGTAGCTTGGCCAGGGTTTTCTGGCTCACCAGGTGTTGGGGGTTGGGTAGGTTTTCTTCACCCATCAGCCACTTGAGAGCCCGTGCGTTTAAATATCTCCAGTATATAAGCAGATTCAGTGCGGGGGGGAGCGAAAGGGATGCTATGTTCCGGGAGGGGTTTAACACTTCTAGAAAGAGTCCCACTTGCTCTTGGCAGAGTGCAGCCAGAACGTCCCTGGAAAGCATCGGGGTGTGCTCCGGGATGGAGGGCGGGGGGGTCAGTTCCACTCGGCTGCCCAGTTCTCCCCCCCAGCGCCAATCCCAAAGCCGTGTGGCAGGGGACCTTGGTTTTTAGGCTGCGGCTCTGGGTTTAACACAGAGCCGGAGGGGCAGCCAGGTTCATTGCTAAAAGCTAAGACGTGCCAGTGTCTCTGAAAAGCTCCCCCCATCCATCTGCCCGGTCTAGGGGTGACCCTCAGAGGAGCTTGGGGAGCCCCCGAGAGGGGCTCTCACTGCAGCCACTTGGGGCTGTCCGTGTTCTGTCAGTCTGTGGGTCCCAGCACCATACTGCTTGGAAGTGGCCTGGAGACACTCTTAGCCCCCCCTCTCGCTGTGACTGGGGTGTCACGGGGGAGCCCACGAGGGCTGGTGGGGCTGCCTTGTCCCGAGGCCCTCTCCCTCTCTCGGCCTGCTGTGAGCTGTCCGTTGTGTTTGTTCTGCTCTCTGAGCTTGTTATCAGTGAGCAACACACACAGGAAGTCCTGTCTGGGATTGTCCATTCCAATCCTGATTTATACAGGAAGAAAACCATAAAAAGCCTCCCTTCCACCTCTAAAGGGACCTCCTGCCTGCCTGCAGCACCAGTGACCAGCCACGCTGGGGAAGCACAGGAGAGGAGCAGATGCAGCCAGTTAGGGAGGAGAGGCCTTGGCCATGCAGCAGCGGCAAACAGCAGAGGAGGTGGCGGCTGGGTTGTGGAGAGTTGCTTGGAGCAGGAGAAGGTGGCCCATTTCCCATGGCCGCTGCAGAGGGACGCAGAGAGGAGGAGAGGACGTAGCAGGTACCGTATGCCAGAATGGGCGTAGTGCCCAAGGGCTGCAGGGTGCTGGGGATGGGTAGGAAAGCCAGGGTATAAGGGTTAAAAGAGATGCCAATCAGAGCCTACATTATCCCAGTAGCAACAGGCCAGTTCCTGAGGTCTCTATCCAGTGGCTTCAGTAGAACTTTGAACATCAGAGAAAGTGAGAACAGAGAAAGTGACTAAGAACCTCAGGGTCTGGCTCAGTAAAGAACAATCAAAAATTATTCTTACAGCAAAGAGGTGTTTTTGAAGCAACTATTGGCTTCTTTCGAGAAGAGCCGAGTGTGCTCACGTAGGGCCAACTCTGCTCTCCGTTACACTGGGGCAAATCCAGAGGAATTCCTTTGTCTTCAGTATTTCCGAGGGCAGAATCCAGCCCTTTGTACAAATTTTTAATTTCACTTCACCGCCACTCAAGCTGTTTGTCTTGAAAAGAAGAGCGATGGAGGTCAAATATAAGAAGTTTAATTTATGTACTGTCCATGTACAGGTCAAAACCTGGGGTTTAAGGCTGTGGGAGCAAACAGACACAGTGGCAAGAACTATACAGATAGTGCTCATTTGTTTCCATAAAGTTACTTTCTTTCGCTTTCCCCCACACCCCATATTGGTACAATGATTAAGAGGGCTATAGGTATTGTGTATGATACATGCATGTTGGTCCATAGCTCTACAGTGCAAATATGCACCACTCTCTCCTCCCTTCACCCCCCATGTGACAATGATTCAAAGAGCTCTAATGCAAAGCTTATTACTAATTAGATCCAGTTGTTTTCGATTGCCAATACTAAAAAAGTCATTAGGCAAAATACAGCACTGAATGATCCCCAGGGGCTGGGAAGATCCCAGAAACCTTAAATAGGGGCAGCATATCCTGGATATTTAGTATGCTTCTATTTGCTGAGAATTATCTGATTCTGGCAAGCAAGAAGTCAAAGATCATCTGAAGTTACAGCTGTGTAGCTGGGCGATTTGCATCCTGCGGAGTTCTGTGTGCTGCTAAAGAGCTGTCTCGTTTCACCCCCGAGGCTGCATTTCAGGGGTAGGTGATGTTATATCTCTACAGGGTGTGTATAGCCATATACCGCCCTCGATCCATGGCAGAACACCATGTGGGTGGGCGGGCGGTCTGTGGTTTGGGGATAATATTTGTCCTTAGTTTGGAGGGTACTTGGGTGTCAGTTACTGTAATACCCAAAACGTGGCTGGCACTGGAGATAGAGGATATGCAGAAGTATAATGCTAGGGAATGCTTTCTCCTTGGGCATTTTTTTCGGAGGGAAAAGACGATTTTGCGTATTTCTCTGCGGGGTGCAGCCATGGTAGTCTGATGAATTAACTAAGCAAAGAATAAAAGAACAAGGAATTGTAGGTGATGAGCTGATGGGCAAGCTTCTGACACTCTCTTCATCAGCCATGGGAAGCTGACTGCATGAGTCAGCAACACAGATATAGTGGCTGGACTCAGACCCTGTCCCCCATCATTAAATCTGGATCTGCTGTGGATCACAGCGGAATTAGCAGTGGGGTAAGAAAACACTGACTGGACCTAGAGTGTGTATTTGTTTGACTTTTTAAACATTATTCCCTGTGATCCAGAGTCTAATTCTGGGATCTCAATTTGCACCCCTCAATAATATCTGAGGCTCAACTCCGGTGGGTTCCCGCCCAGCTAATGAAGAGAAATTGAATCTCAGACGCTTGCTCATTTTGACATATTTCTTTATAATATAGAGTCTGTGGAGGGGCAGTAGATTTACAAATTGCAGCAAAATAAATCTAAGTCTCAATCAATATACATGGGCGATGGGACAGTAAGTCAATTCGGAGCATAAGGGGGCAGATTTAATGTGTGCCTTCAAAATAGACACAAAAGAACAAAAAAAGGGAATGCGGGAAGGGGAGAGAACAGATGGCAGAAAAAACAAACTGAAGAAATTAAAATGTTCCCATATTCAATCTCTCTCTGCCCTCCTCTCCCACTCCAATACCCGCCCTACAGTGCTGGGAATTCCTGTATTCCTAGCTGATCTGCTTCTTGGAAAGCCGATAAGCTAGGAAAGCTCTACTTTGGTCCATTTAGTGCATGCTTATGTGCCATCACTTTTGAACCAGAAACGGCCTCTTAGAATCAAAGGATCATAAGAGCAAAATGATCTATTTTAAAACGATTTCTTCTTGAAGCAACTATTTGTTGGCAGAGGCGTGATTTAAGGACCAATTTAATCCATGCATGCAACTCAGCTCGGTTTGAGGGCAGTATATTTCCTTAGGGAGTGATTTTGCTGGGTGAATGTACAGGAAAAAACATGGGGGCTGATTTCTCTCCTGACTTACACCAATTTTACACCAGTGTAATTCCACTGAAGTTAATGGAGTGACTCTTGATTGATCCAGGTGCAATAGAGATCCATGTTTTGTAAGTGTCTCTCTCTTGACTTTTATGCAGCGACCATCACTGTCTCATCTAAATGTTGTGCCAATAATATGTGAGCATAAGTAATAATATATAAATAAACCTGGCTAAATAATAAAAGATATTAATGATGCTCATACATTTGCTTTATGGTGGAGAAAATTAGACTGCAGTGAATTACTGCCACAGTATTTAATTATAAGAGGCCAGTCCTGAGGTCCTCACTGAGTGTTTGTCTTTATACCAGCAAAACATTTACCTATTTGCCTGAATAATGACTGTAGACTTTGGACCAGAGGTACCCACAGCACTGGGCGGTAGGTGAGCTGACAGGCTAAGGGCTATGAGCCAGGTGCTTATCTCAATTTCACTTGCTTTAAGTTGCACTGACTTCAATGGAGCTACTGTGGATTTATACCATGTAAATGAGATCAGAGTCTGGTTCACAGCGAGTGCAATAGAGAACAGTAGGGTGGGTGTTCTTTTTTTCTTAGCAAACTTTGCGGAATGGGGTTGCTCCTCTGTTTCCTTAATTTAAAAGACCCAAGCATTCCAATTGAAAAAGTTTCCCCTCAAAAAATAAAATGCTTGGTATCTTAAAAAAGAAGCACTAAAGAATCATTGTTACTTTAGCTCTCTGTTCCTGGAGCTATGCTGCATGCAATCCCCCCCCTGCAGTCCAGGAGAGGTCATTGTGTAGAACGACTACTGGGTCAGGCCTGATTTTGTAGCAAAATTATTGCAAATATGTTTTAAGAATTTGCTTTTCTATCTATCTATTTATCTATCTATTTATCTATCTATCTATCTATCCATCCTGCCCATTACTGCCTCTAAGGCCCCAGTTCAGGAAAGCACTTAAGCACATGTTTAAGTCCCATTGACTTTGTTGGGACTGGATGATCAGAGATGGATCATTTGATAAATTGCTCTGTTCTGTTCATTCCCTCTGAATCATCTGGCAATGGCCACTGTTGGAAGACAGGATACCGGACTACACAGACCATCGGTCTGACTCCATTATGGCAGTTCTTATTCTCTTATGTACATGCCTTCCTGAATAGGGACAGTTTCCTGAATCGGGGCCTTAGTGCTGAGTCTCCTATTGTGTCCTCTCTGTTAGTCATTCATATCCATTTTTCATCTATGCAGGGTACCATTTTCTTTCAGAGCCACAACTCCCGTGTGGATCTGGAGCCAAAGCCTGTACTCCTCCCTCAGTGCCCTGCTGCAGCGTTTGCTGCACACCCAAAACTCTGATGTCACTGGGAACCAGGTGTGCAAGGAATCCAGGATCTCATCTTTATCCCACACTCAGCCTTCAGTGCCTGGGATCTCATGTCTGCTTTACATAAACCCACTGACATCACCAGAGCTGTGCGCCTACCATGTCTGCCGCTTATGCTATAAGAATCTGCACTGCAGGTGACATGAGGGTGAGGATATGAGACAAGAATTTTGCCCTTAAAATTTAACCTGGCTTTTAATTTAGAACTGATCCTGTAAAGCATTTGGAGTGTGTTATAATTTACATTTTAGTCTGTGGGGAAAGCAGCGTTGCTGTTATAAGACTCTGCATTGGCAGATAGATTTCAACTTTTTTACAAATAAGAAGCGATTATGCAGGAACGTTTCTTTCTTGGTCTTGAGACAAACAATAATATTAGATGTAGCAGGAGTCCATTTTTAATGCCTGGCGGGGTGCACTGTGGGTGAATCATCCAGAATATCAGTTTAGGGATGGTATCAAATCCAGATAGACTTCAACTGAAGAACTAAAAGACATGAACTTTCTTTTCAGAAATCCTATAGCATTAGCATTAACAGAGCAATGGGACAGATCTTCAGTGCTGTAAATTACCACAGCTCCATTTAAATTACGGGAGTGATCCCAATTTACACCAGTTGAGGATTTGTGCCCAGATACTCAGTGGTATTTAAATAACTTTGACGATCTGGGCGTTGGCCCAGCGAAGTGAATATTACAGTCCCAGGCACTGAATGTTTCCCTACAGGGGATTAAATAGACTTTTATCAGTTTATCCTCAGTCCTTACCTAGGTGACACTGATGTCAGTGAGAGTTTGCCTGAATAAAGATTTGTCCTAGAAAAAGGAGCCAAAATTCAAACATTTTAGCAACTAAAATAATTGCAAAATTATAAATTGCTGCAATGCACGTCAGAAATAATTAAGCAATAAGATAACAGAGAGTTTGAATTATGGTGTATTTATTCCTACCTAGTGTGTTGTTATTAGAGGTGAAGCTAAAAGCTGTGTGCCGTGAATGCCGTTAGGTGTGAATTAATCCACCCTCCTTCACACATTGGTAGCTGAGTATGATTTTACACTTCCATTACATAACTAAGGAATGATCCTGCAAAACTGAGCATCTGCCACTCATTGACTTGAAGCTGAGGGTGCTTGAAACCTTACAGGATTGGGCCCCAAATTTTCCAGTCAAATGTTTCACCTTAAATTCCCATGCAGTTTGGCAAAGGGTGGTGTAGTGTAGTGGGTGCAGCACAGGCCTGGGCACCAGCAATTCCTGAATTCTATGCCTAGCTCCGACACTAACTCTTTCTGTGGTCTTTGGTGAGTCACATAACCGCTCTGCCTCCATTTCCCCATCAGTAGAGTGGGGATAATATCGCTGACCTCCCTCCAAGGGATGAGATGAGGATTCATTGTGCAATATTGATAGAGCCTTATACGCACTAGGAATTCAAAGAGAACTGACATATTTGTCCGTGGAGTTGTTTCTGTGTTTGTTGGCAGATTTAGAACACATGGCTGAAAGTACTGCGGCTGGTATATCATAGTGTTTAGGGATGGGCACTGAATATGGTATAACATTGCTCGAGGACACTTGGTTTGGGGCTGGCATAGCATATTCCTAGGGGTGGAGCACTGAGAATGCCTGGGGGAGCGATTGTGAAATAAGCTAGGGTGTGCTCCTATTCCACTCGGGGTGCCTTTTTGCTTCCAAAGTGGATTAAGCTAAACTGCCCAAAGGCAGTGCAGAATAAGAGCATCTACATGGAGAGCTAGTGTAGAATAGCTAATCCGGGCTATTCCTCCAGGCAGACGAGCCCTGCGGGAGGAGTACTGGGGATGGGATAACACGCTGCTTGGGGCTGTGTACTGATGGTTTAAAACTGGGATTTTCAGATGAGCCTAAGGAAGATGGATGTTCAAAGCCCATCAGAATTCACTGGGAATTAAGCACCTAATTCAGCCTCCCGCATTGCTTTGGAATGAATATTGGATGCAGCAGAACATATTGCTGGGGGGATAAGTACCAGCTCTGAGTTAGATGGTCCCACCTAGAGTTCTTTAGAAACAACATGTTCATTTTCCTGCCGATTTTATAACTGCACTTTGGAATAATTTAAAGTCACACAGGCCCTGATTTTCCTCTTGTGCCAGATTTAAATCAGTGGAACTCCACTGACTTTGGTGGGGATACTCCCAATTTATACCAGTGTAAAGGATCATGCTCATGCAAACCCCACAGTGAAAATTTGTCCTCCTGGACTTGCGTTGCACAGGAAAAAATGTACCATCCGAAGGATGGACGCTGTCCTACAATAGCGCCAGTCACTTCTTTCCATCCATTCCCCACCAACACATGGTTGTATTTTTGTAGTGTGGTTTCATTATAAATATTTGCTAAAAGTGTGCATTGAGATTGGGCCCGATCCTGTACTCCTGCTGCCCCACCCAAATAGTCCGGAGGGAGAGTTGGGTGCACGAGGAAGCCAAAGGCAGGCCCAGAATGATCAAGATCTGAATCAAGGAAATCATACGTCAGGAGAACGGCAGTGCATAACCGTGGTTTTATTTGTTCCAACAGTAAGAAATCATGGTGCCGTTTAAAGGAAGCATCCTCCGTTCATGACAAATGACTGATTTCAGCAGATCAGGTGAGTGGCACAGCAGTGAAATGAAATCCAACCCCTTTATGGACAAGCTTTTCACTTGGCTAATAGAAATCTACTTGGAAGCAGAGTTCCATAGCGGGCACTGTTCTTTTTCCCCAGGCACTAGGGCTGCAATAATAGACTGGGCATTAAGATTATTACTGTCCCTGTGGGAAGGGCTGTCTGTGCTTTGAGTTTATGAGATTAAATGAGTTTAAATAATTCCCCAGGGGTAGATGGATCCAGACGGAGGAATAAAACAATTCCTGTTTTGTGCTTACAGAATGCAAGATGCTACACAAAGGGGAACTGACTTTTCAATCAGAGCCAATAACCTTTTCCTTTGATGGATTTGGTTATCATCTCTGCCTCTAGGGATCCGGACTCCTCTCATGTGCTGGCCCCATCCCATCACACGCACGGCATCTCATTCTCCACTCCCCTGCTCCTTGTCATTCACACCAAGGCAAAGGGGGGATAACGTGCTATCAAGACACAACAGCAGGGTGAGTGCCTCGGCTGATGGAGCTCGGGCGCTAGCTGAGGATCTGGCTCGTTGTGTTTCACGCTCACTTTGCACGGGTGTAAATGAATGCACAGCAGTGGAGAATCAGCCCCAGTGCACCGTGACCTTGCGCTGGGGCTGTAGCACCAACCTTCAGCTGATGTGACTATGGACAGGGGGCAGCTGGGCTTAAATCAGCCGCCTGCACAACTCCCAGACAGGAGAAGCGCCGGCGATTTCTGAGCTGCTGTTGTCTATCTGCTAACTATTTTCCCATCATGTCCATGTGCTAAAAAACAACAACCCCAAGCTAGAGGGTAACAAATATTCCCATATGGACCATACCCTGACCTTCCTTCACATGCCAACGCCTGCTGGCTTTGGGGGCAGTTCTGTGCACGGCCAGGTGACAGGAGACTGCGCTAAGTTGTTTTAGGAACAATAGCGCTACTTTGCTCTAATTCCTTTACGAGGGAAGATAGAGACAAAGGAAATCCCGGTTTGCACAAAGGGACTGAACAATTTTCTTTGATAATTGACCAAGGCGTCTAACAAAGTAACATGCAAGCCAAGGAAGTCGGTGGGCAGCTGGACCCATTGGGCTTGATGTGTTCCTTGTAGTGAAACTGGGTTAGAGGAAATGAAAACGCATCAGGGACACATTTGGGCCGTAGCATTTATGCTTTTATCTTATTCTGTTGTGTGATGTAATGTGTAAGGAGCCGATCCTGCGAACGGCTGAGCACCACGATCTTTGCTAGAACTGGGCCCTATGCCCCTGAGCTTTGATGACGGGTTCTTGGAGTGTCAGAGGATTTGTTAGGTCAGATTTATATTTAAAAATTAGATCGACCTAGCTACGTCGCTCAGGGCTGTGAAAAATTTTGCGCCCTGTGCAACATAGTTAAGTTGTCCCTTTGTAGACGTGGCTAAGTTGAAGGAAGAATTCTAGCGTTGATTTAGTTACTACCTCTCGTAGAGATGGATTAACCATGGAGGTGGAAAAACCCCTTCCTACACTACGGCACTACAGTTGCAGCACCGCGGGTGTGCTGCTGTTGTGGCCGTCCTGTAGACATACCCTTCGATGTTTTGGTAATTTGGAGAGTTCTGAAGGATATTTCACTGACTCAGGGCTGGTCCACACTGGGACGGGGGATCGATATAGGAAACGCAACTTCAGCTACGAGAATAGCGTAGCTGAAGTCGACGTTTCCTATATCGAAGTAAAAGTACTTACTTCGGGTCCACGCGGCGCAGGCAGGCTCCCCCGTCGACAGCGCTTCCTCCTCTCGGCGAGCAGGAGTTCCGCGGGCGACGGGGGAGCGCTTCTGGGATCGATCTATCGCGTCCAGATGAGACGCGATAAATCGATCCCAGAAGATCGATCTCTACCCGCCGAATTAGGCGGGTAGTGTGGACCAGCCCTTACAGACAAGAATTCAAATTCACTTTAACTCATTGTTAGTGTACAAGACGCTCCGATAAATAACATCATTCCTCAGTCATGCACCTGAGACAGCCAGACCGTCACTGCTGCTCTTGTGTAGCTCAAAAACCACTAGAAAGAGTTTTTCTAAAGTTTTGCAAAGGGGTTCTGCGTTAACCCCTTGTGTACTGAGTCTCAGCCTACATCCAACTGAGTTATAAACGTTTGGAAAGAGAGTTTGCAAGTTAGACTGAACCCCCCCCCCCAACCCTTTAATCACAATGACTGGGACCACTTGGAAATAAAAGGCAGAATTAAGACCCCCCACACACACAAACAAAACAAAACAAACAAAAACACCCCCGCCCCACTATTTCCAAGAAGTAGAGGGTAAAAATTGCTCTAAAGTGCATTTAAAATAAATGTGAAAAAACATCTGCGCCGTTAAGGTTCGGATGGTTTAGTTTTTCATTCTGCTGGGCACATGTTAAACCAAAAAACCCCTCCCCACCCTGGCATGAGCTCTTCTCTCTGGGGAAGCAGCAGTTTACAAAACAGGCCACTTGGTCTAGTGGGATGGTGTTAGAAGGAGAGCAATTTAACCATCCAAAGAAACACAAGGGGGGGGGGGGACGAACCCCAAAAGAGCTTTCGAATTGCAGTTGGGTTTGAGATGGGGGGTTTGCTTGGGGCCCCTTAGTGAGCGCGACAGGCAGGGGAGCAGTTCGGGTTTGGCTAATCCCTGGTAGCCTGGGGAGTTAAACCTGGAGCCACATCCCGCCCTATCTTTGCCAGGCGGCGGGGTGCACCGTTCTCTCAGGCTGGCTAGCAGCTGCCCTGAAGGGCCCCTAGCCAGGGCTGAGCGTTGGCAGAGGGGTCAGGAGGAACTCACTAGCCCAGAACTCACCCCCGGGCAAGCCGCAGCTAGGGGGGCACTGGCTGGATCGGAGCCCGCGTTGCTTTGCTGGGAAGGGGGGGATCTTAGAAACCGGTTCAGGGTACCACGCGGGGGATGGGGGGCACCCGCGGAACATGCGCCCCGCTGGGATCCCCCTTCACGCGGCTCCTCTTTGCACGGCCCCGCCCCGTTGCAGTCACCCCCAGGACACGATCCGGATTCCGGACCCCTGCTGAGACGATCCAGAGCGGTAACCCCGGGGGTGAATGCCAGGCGCAGGTGCAAAGGCGAGGGAGGATTTTCCCCTCCCGGGGGGGGGGGGGGGGGAGGGCGGCAGGTGGCCCCCCCCCGGTGGGGGGTGTTTCCAGCCGCAGGTTGCGTGTTCCTTGGTCCCCCCTGAACTGGGTTTCACTCCCGCGGTGCAGGGCTCGGCTCTGATCCTTCCCATGAGCTCATTGGACTAAGAGGAGAGGGACGCGGCTAGGGGGGGGGGGAGGAAATGCAAAGGGGCTACACACCGCTGGCTGCTCCATCAAGGAGGCAAAAGCCGGGGGCAGGAGCTCCTGCGTGCGCGCAGCTCCTGTGGGGCAGGCGAGCTCCGGGGAGGGCTCTGCAAATTCGCCTTCCTGGGACCGGCAGGACAAGTAAGTAGGCTGGAAATCGGAGCTTGTAACCTCATAGCTGGGCCCTGGCTTTGCAAACCGCTCTGACCGGGGGGCTGGGAAGTGTCGACTCACGTGCGTTGAGGTCCCCCCCGCCCGCTCCGGTTTGCAATTCGGATTTCTTTGCACGCGCTGTCTGCTGGGTCGGAATTTGTGGGGGGAGCCTCCTTCTTGCAAAAAGGCAGTGATGGGGACGGGGGGGGGGAATGGATGCACTGGGTTATTTGCCAAATCTGGCTCCCTTCTGCAGGAGCGGTTCCCAACGCGGCAGGATCAGACCCGAAAGGGGCGATCCTACGGGGCCAGGTGGGGAGTTTGCAGAGATGCAACGTAGTAGCAGCAGGACCTGCGCCGGGCACCCGGTCAGCCCAGACGCCTGGTGGCTGGATCAGTCGGAAAGAAACGGACAACTGGCCTGCCCCGGTGTAGCCCCGTGACATGAGGTTCCCCCCAGCAGGGTTATCCTGGGTTACTGGGAGAGCAGCGCGCGCCCACCCCTGCAACACTTGGCTAGTCTTTTGCAGGCGAGCTCAGAATAGCTCCAGGGGTCTGTTGGACCCTTAGGGAAGGCCCCCCTCTAGCGGCTCTGAGACCGAAGTGCCCAAAGGAGGGGAGGCCCGGAGCTGCATGACATGGGCAACTCTGTCGTTCAGGAAGTTGATGGTTGTTGACAGTTGTCTTAAGTGGGTGATTGACCTTCAGGGTTGACAATCTTAGCAGAATCCTATTGCGCTTGCAGAAGGAGACACATCTTCCCTGTACGCCACAAGGGCAGACTTTGGATTCATCTCTATTATTTTTAAAAATGGTTAATTTAAAAAAAAAGATTCATTCAAACTCTTAACCAGACTCCCCAAAGTTGGGCGAAGTTTGGATCTGAGCTGGGCTCATCTGAAATTTTTGTCTATCTATCTATCTATCTATCTATCTATCTATCTATCTATCTATCTATCTATCTAATCTTTAGCACCACTGACTGCAGGATCTAGTCGTAATATGCTTAGTGAATATGACATTTCAGCGACACAGCACCCGACCGCAGCGGCCTGTGGAATACTAATGAGCCCCAGCAGTCCGGAGGAAGAATTGCTGTGAGTAGTTTGGGGTTGGGTCCCTGAGAAAGTTGCTCTGTCTCTTGCTCAAGTCCAGAAGAGTCTGAGTTACCCATCCCCAGGTAGGATCGAGGCACTCTCGTGACGGGAACATGACTCCCAGAAGTCCCACATGACGAATGTCAGAATGGAGCCGTCAGGAACGTTGTCACTCGCGGAGGTGAATGGGAGCTGCAGAGCTGAATCCTCCTGCGCCACTTAGAAAATAGCCCCCGACACAATGATTCAAGAATAGACTTTAGCTGGTGCTTGGGTTTCAGCTACAGAGCTGGCGATAGTAGCAGAGCTGACACACAACATGTGATAATGTTTTCTGTTGGCTCCCGCAGTAGTTTAGGCAACAGCTCTGAGGGCAGGAATTTTAGCATATAGTTTTGGATAGAAGTCAGATGCAACCGCTGGAATCGTATTTGGCTACAGATGCTCATATTACAAGGCTTTGATGCCTCCTAGCATTTCAGGAGCATAGAGCTACATACAGTAGCTTTATATGAACAGAGCAACAACATATTTTACATTATAAAACTTGAGACACACTTGAGATTAGAGAGACTATGCAAAAATGTATTGTGTTGGGGTTTTTTTGTTTTGTTCTTATCACACAAAGATTTTTCTGGGACGTAAACAGAAAAAGCATTGTTACCGCTGCCAGTCATTTTAGAAAAGAGATCAGAGAAAAGACAACGCTAAATTACAATTTGACAAACAAGCATTAGGCGTCATCTGCAGCCCTCAGAGGTCCTGGCTTCCTGTGTGCATTAAACGTGTAGAACGGCTCAAATTTGATCAAGATCGGCTCTTTATCTGACGCAGAACAACCCTGATTTTAACACACCGTGGAGGTGGAGACACATTCTGATGGGTGGGGGGGCAAAACAATTGTTTTTGACTCTTCGATTTTTAAAAACAGAACAAAACAAAGTGTCCTTCGGGCCCCAGGCCTCTAATCCTTTGCCACCCCCATGCAGGCAAAACTCCTACCTCTGTCAGTGGAGTTTGGTCAAAGGTCTGAGATGATCTTCGGGGTTTGATTTAGAACGTGGAATTCAGTCTCGTTGAAGAAATACCATTGGCACGGAGGATTATGATTTCACTGAGAATTTGCACCATACTCTAGCTTAGGTGAGGTCGGAGGGAATTAGGAGGGTCATCAGACCACCCAAGATGTTCTAAGATGCCTCCATGTGCGTTGAGGTGTGCAAAAGAGTTTTCTTTCCTTTCCATTGGTTGTTGACGTTCTTATTTCTGTAAATGGACCGAAGCTTGATTTCTTGTGGAGGCCGGCACCACAAATAACTAACTAGAGGGTGAAATTCGGTGCAGACAGCCAGCGCAAGGTCTGTGCAGCGTCTGAGCTGGTGTTTTGTCACCCAGGATGGAAAAGATTTTTGGCCCCTTCCCTTCCCCCCCACCCAAAAGGGGCAACAAAACAACTTGGCGGTGATTTGGCATCAGTAACGGGGTGGCTTGCCCCATGGGCTGGAGAGCCTGGGGATAAGCCAGCCCTGAATACAAGTTGAGCCCCACCTGAATGGGATCAAGTAATTCCTAAGAGCAGCAGGTGGCTGCAATGAAGTGGGGGGATTCCTTGGGAAACAGAAGACGAAGGAGCTGCAGCTGGCTTGAAGAAGCAGCTGTTGGGAAGCCATTGAACTGTACTGGGGTTGGGTCAGAATGTGTTTAAGGAGTGAACACATACATGGAGCTCCCAGGTGGGGAGTGTTTTCATTTTCTTTGGACTGTTGGTTGTTTAAGGAACCCTGAAGAAGGGGAAAATAGAGGCAGGGCACTGCACAGCCCGCCCCTGGCCACAAGGGGGCGCATGGGAGGCAGCCAAGACTATCAGTGATCCTAAATACAAACTATTTAGGATTAATCAGATAAAATAGGGTGATGCGATGGCGGCCTCTGTGCCTTTACAAGAAGAGGGAGGTTTGCTCGTCAGCCTTCTGATGGCGTCTGCTGTGCTTTTTGGGGCCAGGTGACTGTAAAGTCCTTTCTGGCCTTCAAATGTATGGATCTAGACCATAGAACATCAGGGGTGAAACTGAGCTCAGGATTTTAACCAGCTTCAAGCCAACCGTCTCTTTCTCAATTGCTTCTGTGGGCCGTTTCCCTCATGTTCTCGAGGGGCCCAATCCAGTGCCTGGGCATCGCTGCACTTGTCCTCTTCAAGGATACAACCTGCCTGCTAATATGAGTCCCCTCGTTGGCTGTAGCTGAGCTAATCCAGCCGCTTCTTGAGCAAGAGTGTTTGGAGCGAGGGCCCGTGTTATCTTTTCTACAGCTCTTCCTCCTCTGTTCTGGATCTCGCCTCCCCCTCTGCTCCAGACCTTCCTTGCTGCTTCTGACCTCTTCCATGGTACCCCTGGACAGAGGATCCAACCCATGAGGAGTTGGTTTGGGCCCCATAACCATTATTAGCCACGCGGCCGCCTTGCTCTGCTTTGAACCAGATGCTCAGCTGGTGTTGCCCTGGGCTTCAGTGGAGCTGTACTGTTTGACGTCAGCGGAAGAGCTGGAGAGCTGGAAATTCTTCTAAAGAATGACACGAGCCTGGACCATTCCAATTCTATTTCCAGCCTTGATTTCCCCTTTTACAAGCTTTTTGCTATAGCCGTGTGATATTGCCCCGTTTCCATGGGGTCGTTTCTTATTAAGCTTGTGTCTCCCAATAAAAGTGGTTTGTTTCAGAGGGTACAGTCAGAAAGTCTGGCCCTCTTTCATTGTCATGTATTTGATTTGTTTTTTTCTCCCTTTAACTTCCATCACCTGGAGGTCAACGGATTGTTTAAATTAGATATCGTTATTGACCCGCTAGAACTCTGCCTCGTCTATTTGCCTCTGCTTGCAGAATCAATGCCTCTTTATTCCCAACTTGGTTAGCATTGGCTTTGCAGAGAAAGCATTTAGCCTTCTAAAGCACTGGAGAGGACCCTTGTGTTTAAGAGGGAAGGAGACCCGATTTCACTATTTCATTTGGCGAGAAACATGCGGCTTTATGATGCCATATATATTGCAGACCTTCGTACTGGCCTCCCTGTCTGGCACTACTGGCATATTTCAGAATGATACAACTCAACAAGCCATTTACTCTATTCCTAGTCAAAGAAAATCTTCTTAAACTTGTGGGGCCAGATCTTCAGAGGGTGTAAATCAGCGTAACTCCACTGGCTTCATTGGAGCGATGTGGGGTTTTATGCCAGCAGAAGATTTGACCCAGAAGTATTTAATGTGAATCAGATGCGAAATAACAATGACCCTCTCTAATTTTTTTTAAGCACTTTTACATGGAACACCCTTCAGGCTCAGCTCTGTTACCTTCTTTTCTTATCCTTGCCGGTACATGCACAGTGGTTTGGTATCGGAAGGCTGCGGTGCATGCGGGGTTGTGTAGAGTGATTGTGAGTTGCAGGCTGCTCGGGTGCTTTGTTATTGTAGGGTTGGTCGTGAGCGTTGGCCGGACATACAGGGCGACTCGCTCGTGAGGGCTGGGCTGCACGTGCTCCGCTGTCATTGTAGGGTTACTCGTGAGCAGTGGGTGGCTGGCATTAGTGATGTTTGTTTATTTTAAAACCCATCATTGGGACTGCTATCCTCATATTACTAATAGTGCAGTAATAACGAGACTGTGCCAGATGCTGTACAGACAAATAAGAAATGCCAGTCCCTGCCCCAAAATGCTTAGGGTCTTATGAGACAAAGGAACTATTATTATCCTCATTGCCAGATGGGGCACCTAAGAACTTAAGTCAGTGGTTCTCTGGCGGGCCGGGCCGGTTTGTTTACCTGCCGCGTCCGCGGGTTCGGCCTATAGCGGCTCCCACTGGCCGTGGTTCACTGCTCCAGGCCAATGGGGGCTGCGGGAAGCGGCGCGGGCCGAGGGATGTGCTGGCCGCCCTTCCTGCAGCCCCCGTTGGCCTGGAGCGGCGAACCACGGCCAGCGGGAGCCGCGATCGGCCGAACGTGCAGACGCAGCAGATAAACAAACCAGCCCGGCCCGCCAGGGGCTTTCCCTGAACAAGCGGCGGACCGGCTTTGAGAACCACTGACTTAAGTGATTTGCCCCAGGTCACACAGGGAGATTTTGGCTGAGCCGGGAATTGAACCCAGACCTCCTGAGTCCCAAGCCAGAAACGTCCCCATGAAATTATTGTTTTTGCCGCTGCACTTTTAAAATCTACTTCGCTCGCGCTGCATCATTGTAAGAGCATATCCCGCATTGCTTTGCTAGTGCACAGCAGGGAAATTCCTAGTCCCTTAGTGAAAGCAGTGTCGGAGATATCTTGTTTTGCTCACTAATGTAGACTCTTAGTCTACATTCCATATTATCTACACAAGGTCGCAACAACTTCTCACACAGTTCTTTCCCACTCACCTCACACATTCCTCGCTTCTACAAATCTCGCGTTATTAGGGTTATAGTTAGCCTAACTCTTGCTAACGAACTGTCATGTATTGCATCCCCTTCCTGTCAGTTCTTTCTCTGCTTCCACAACAGCACTACACCTTGCTCCCCTGCGCTCCTTTTTCAATAGGCCCAAAGGGGGCCATTGAAACGTCACTGTCCCAGAAAGGACGCTGCGTGGTAAGGTCATTATTCTTTTGGTTCCAGGGTTCCCCACTGAAGAGACACATGCAGTAAGAGCCAGTGCTTCCCATCAAAGAGTGACACCCCTTCATGCCACACAATATCGCACAGCAGGAAAGAAAGAGCCAGCAGAGGACAGGAAATGCAGAGAATCAGCTGCCTCCTCACGGGATTTGTCTTAATCCTTGGTGTGACCAGCACTGAGCGTTTTGCCCGGTCAGGGTAAGCCTCTTCTTTGTCCATCCTTCAGAAGTCTGGCTTGCCGCATGCATACCGCTGGGCTTCTCTGCAAGCCACAATCAGGATTGATTCAGGGGGCTAGGCTCAAGGAGACATCAAAGGCCAAGTTCAGAAGTCTGCTGCACATGAATGAGCGGCTTTCGAGGTGTGGGGACAGGCAAGAGACAACCTTGCAGATTCTTCCGGGGGTAGTGTAGGTTTTGGCAAGCTTTTGTGGTGTTTGTTTGCTGTGTCTGTAAAGCAGAAAGCCATCCAAATACATTCAAGTGTATCCGTCTAGTTCCATGCAGCATATACAAAGAGAGTATCTTTGCCAGTTGACTTGGGGAGTCAAAAAGCTAAATAGAGCATACGCTGCTAATGATTTCTTATTGTGTCTTTAGTGCACATCCCTGCATGCATACACCCTCCCTCAAGCATAAGTGCACACCCACCACCAACACACCCACCCACCCACATGCATTCACACACACGTACACACTTCAGATGCACCCCCCTGTACACATGTAGATGAGCATGCACACACAAATGACTGGTTCACCTCGTTCAATATCCTGCCACTAATAGCAGCCAATATGAGATGCATCAAACTATGGCAAAATCTCACACCCCTAAGTCGGCAATGCTGTAGATGATGGAACAATTCCTTCCTGACCACAGTGTCAATCAATTTGTGCCTCGAAGCATGGGATTTGATGTCCCCTATCTGATCATGCATAACTGCTATTATTATTGTTATTAGAGATGGGCTTGACCTAAACCCCAGGATCCAAACACACTTTGAACTGGGGGGAAATTCAGATTTGGATAGAAGCTGGGCAACGAACTCTCAGCTCTCTAATGGGTCAAAACAGCATCCCAGCTCCAAAGCAAAACTTCCCCTTGACTGCCATGTTAAAATTTAGGGAAGTCTGGATTTGACTCCCGCCCCTCCTCCCCCTATTAACTCATTTCCCACTAACTCTGGAAATACTGATATCTGGACCCCAGTTTTGTAGTTCTGACCTATCCCGTTTGGTTTTACAGTGAGTGACCCAGCCCTTGCTACAGTATTGAATCTTTTGCAGCCCTGAAGTCTACAAGCTGAATCTCTCTCGCTCTCTCTCACACACACACACACACAGCTGGCTGCTGATATATACACACACACTCAGAGTAGATAGATCTTTATAATAATGTCAGCAAAACTGCCTCTTTCATACCATTAATCCAGCAGGGTGAAATGAGTTATCCTGAGTTAATGGAAGGCATCTGATGTCAGTGTTAATTTTCAGCACTTTAGTTCAAGTTTCTAATTTGTCTGGGAAGCTGACACAAATAATCAGGTTTCTTAATGGGCTTCTACTCCAGAGACTAAGATCGGTGTCAGACAACATCCAGCTGAACAGAACCTCTCAACCTGGCAAAAGGCAAAATGGTGCGAAAATCTTTAACCAAGAACGCGTTGGATGTGAATTTCATGAAGCTTTTACATTGCGGGCGGGCGGGGTGGGGAGCTCCAGATCTCAGCAACCCCGGTGGAAATTTAGAGCTACTTCAGTGGAAGGGATTTTACCCCACTGAGCAGAATCTGGTCCTTGCTGTGGATTTTTGGTCATCACCTAGGTGTTGTTTTTCAGTGCTGCCACAGTCTCGGAACGAAAACAAATCAAAGGCCAGCTAAAAAGCAAATGATTTTTTTTACAGCGTTGACATGTCCCCTTTAATCTGCTGTTCAGGGGGAAATGCTTCCCCCGGTAATGGATTTGGATTCCTCTCCTTTGCATGGTAATTTTACAGCAGCCTTCGGAGGACTCTGTTCCGAGACTTTGCATGACAGCCACCCAGCAGCCCGTTCGCTGCGGATCCCTGTTCCCGACATTGGAACGAGTGGCATTGTTTTCAGGGAGATTGGAGAGGGCCAGCCAGGGCGCCTGGAGGCAAACTGCAGAGGTAGCCTTGCAGCTTTGAGGGTAGAAGGGAGCGTACCTGCGAGTGTAGAACCTCCTTGAGATAGGTGCAGAATATAAGCTCTCAGCTGCGTGAGGCAGGATATAGAGCTGATATTCAAGGGATTTACTCGTGTGAAGTTTTGGAAGCTCCTATCAGCTCCTCTTCCCAACCGCACCCCAATAACTCTGCTCCAGTAAATGAGGAATTAAGGGAGCCTTAGCAATTGCATCTTAACCGACCCTCTGTGAGGTTCTTGGCCAGAGTCTCTGCTAGTGGAACTTGGCACAGCTCCATTGGAGGCATGGGGCCATTGATGCTAGCTGAGAATCAGGTCCCCCATAGGTCAAATGCAGCCAGGGAGTAAGAGGGCACAGTTGCACAGAAGGCAGTGGTGTTGCATCCTCTTGGACTGGAGCTGGGTTTGGCCCCCATGGAGGGGTTTTCACATCACATTCCTTACCTGCGTTCCGGGCCTGATCCCCGTTGCTTTATGCCTGTCGCTTTCGCTTTGAGTGAGACCCGGTGCCTTCTGTCCAGCCGCAGGGTGTGCTCTGCAGAGATGCAGAACGGAGCCGCTTCCTATGTGGAGTCCCACGTGCAGCCTGTCTACCAGCCCTACCTCACAACGTGCCAGGGACACCGGCTCTGCAGTACGTACAGGTGAGGAGAGCAGCCTGCTTCAGGGAATGACGGGCGCCAGCGCTGCAGACAGGTGGCATCTGGACTAGCCCGTCCGCTCCAGGGTTGGATTACAGTCTCCGGGGATGCTAAGTACAAGGATTCGCCCAGAGACACAGCATCTCCCCGGGGTGCTTAGCAAAGGGTTTGTTCAGAGGTGTATAAGGAGCCATCACCCTGCACACTAGAGGGAGGAAGACCATTCCCCCAAACCCCTGTTGGGAGAGACAGACGTACTTGGCTCTTGGGTGTGGGCACGGCCCCTACTCCTGGGAGCATGCGGGCAGGGAGGGATAGGGAGTGGGCAGAGGCAGGCTGGCACAACAGGGGAAGTAAGCGGCAAAGGGATGACCTGGTTTACTCCCCAACCCTAGGAGCAAGGCGGGGGAAGGATTGTGACTCTCCCCAGGGCGAAGCAGTCGGCTCTTTCCGCACCCCGTACAGGCGCAGTCCCTAACTCCTTTCCTGAACCTTATTGCAGAACCACATACAAGGTTGCCTATCGCCTGGCCTACAGGAGATTTTCCCAGCCCATCTATATGTGCTGCCCCGGATGGAGGCGGGCAAACGTCCACGCAGTCGGATGCAGCAAAGGTAAATGAGTGGCAGAGAGAGAAGAATATGGATCGTGATGAGATTGCAGCATCTCCCCTTTGGCGCTTTGGTCCTGCTCTCCCTTCCACTTTGTTTTACACCAGTCTTTTTTCATTGACAGCGGTGGCTTTCTGCCTGATCTGCACTGGTGTAAACGAGAGCAGAATCAGTCCCATAGCCTCGAGAGGGACAGCTACAGCCTGGCTTGAGCACTGACCTGGGAGACAGGAGATGGGGATTCTGTTCCTGACTTTGCCATTGACTTGGCAGGGGCCCTGGGCAAATGACACCCTCTTGGCGCCTCAGCGCACCCCTCCGTAACACAGGGATTGGAACTACTACTCCCACGTTGGCAAAAAGCTTTGAGATCGCTGAATGAAAAGTATTTGCATCATGCTGGTGGGAGGGGCTCTCCTAGTGCAGAATGCTGGAGAGACGGAAATACAGCACAGCTGGGGGAAAGGAAATACAGCGCAGACAGGGGTTGTTAACACCCTGCAGAGGGCTCTCAGCACCTCTCTGATCATCACCTCTGTGTGTCTCAAAAGCCACTGCCCTTCTTACCAGATCTGTCTGAAATTAGTGTAATTCTCTCTTGTACTAAGCAGGCACTTATCCTTCCAACACCCGCCTGTGAGAACAAATCGGTTTCAATTAGCCATTCATTTATAGCCTTGCTTTGCTTGCCTTGCGTATATATCGCTTTATTAGCTTGGCTTATACCAGAGGAGAAATTAATAAACCCTTTCCGCATAAATCAGCAGTAATGGAACAGCTCTGCTGTTAGGGGGAAATAGTGATGTACAGCACAAAAGGAATGCCAAGCCCATCAGAGGCTAATCTCTTACCAGATCAAACCAGCCTGCAATATACTAACGCTTCCCAGAGCCTGTCACTGATTGAGAGCTACTGCAGTCCCCCTCTACCCCCCCCCCCCACTCCCTACACAGACTCTGAGGACATCTTCCTCTTTCCAGGACTGAAATGGGTTAAGTTACAAATGAAAGTGTTTATTGCGCTAGCGAAGCCCAGTGGAAAGGCTTTCCAGGCATCACCTCAGTGCCATTCAAAACACCATCCTAGATCTGTTGCTTCATTTGATGAGCTCCCGGAGTTACTAGAAGGCTGTGAAAATACTGAGTTTCTGGGGCCGAATCCTCCTTTCTGATCTGCTCAGGGATCTCTGACCAACTCTGGGCCGGATTGTGAACCTCTTACTTCCGCTGGGAGCAGCTGTTTGCACACGTCGTCTCGTTGCTGGCCCATGGGAGCAAGGCGTTCACAGCCTTTGCCCTCTGTGAGTCACTGTGGTGTCTTCTACCGCTTGTCTCACGCAGAGCGCCCGTCAGCCTCACGGGAAGTGTCACATGCTGAGCGTAATACAGATCTGATTCACATGGCGGCTGTTGCGTTCACGGGGTGGGGTCCTCCGCTGGTGGCAAGGGGCCGCGCTACGCTGACATTAATGGAGCTCTGGGCATTGACACCAGCGGAGGATCTGGCCCCATGTTTTCGCTCACCTTTAACATTCGCCCGAACTCTGCTGGCGGCCAGGAACAAAGGCCTGGACAGGAGCTCAGAAGGCGCCTGCATGTGTAATAAAAATCTCCCCGAGGACGGGAATTTGCAATGGTGGGAGCACGTGTGCGGCTGCCTGCGCCGGGAGGCCCAGACTTTTGCCTCGGCAACATGGTGACTGTGCGTTATTGTTTTACAGCCATTTGCAGGTTGCCTTGTCAAAACGGTGGGAGCTGTTCAGCCCCAGACAGATGCACCTGCCCCCCAGGATGGATGGGGAAATCCTGCCAGACAGGTAACAGCCCTGGTTTCCCTGTTTTGTATTTCAGTATCTTCCCTGGGCTTCCCTTTGCCGGGGCGATGGGAGCGGGGTGGGGGATGGCGGGATATAGCAGGTGACCTGTAGAAGGTGATTTGCAGGAGCTGACAACAATCTCCTGGATAGGCCAGTGGCACTTTGAAGGGCACCCAGGCCTAATGGTTTCCTCTGTTGGTTCTCAGCAGGGAGTGAACCTGAGCCGTGCACCAGCAGAGTGCCAGGCCCGTGGGCTGAGAGAGTAACTCCGTGCTCTGTTAGCTGTCATAGATTCTTTACATGGACCCAGCGTGTTTACCCAACCCGTGACACCAGCTGCGTGGTGCCTCCATTCCATGCTTTGGGTCCGCCCTTGAGATACGTGGGCGCTGCCTCCGCAAGGCGTCAGCTCAGCACCCAGCGCATGGAATGGGCCATCAGGCATCTTCAGCAGCTTCGTGCTGCCCTTGTGCCTTCACCAATGGTCAGGTCCTTGTGCAAAAGACCCTCCCTGCTTCCTGGTAGCTGAGCCCCGTCATTTGGAACAAGGGCTGCCGTCCCATGGGCATGGGCATTGTCGCTCATGGGCAGCGCTCGGGGAGGGACGATAGGACTGGCTCGCGGATCTGGGCTCTGGCACTGGGTGCCTTGGGGCAAGTCACTGAACTTCTCACTGACAGCAAAGGTCTGGAGGGGTGGGGGTGGGGGTGGGGGGAGTGCTGTTTATGCCCATAGCTCCCACAGACCAGCAGGCGGGGTGGGGGGGGGGGGCAGAGCCAGCCAAAGGGCTTGGATGGCGTAACGCTGTTGACCCAGCAGAGGGAGGCAGAAGCTAGCGTGTAGCTGGCAGATTGGGGTAAGGCGTTCGGGGTGCTCGGTGGATTTTGGGGGGGGCGCTAGCTGTGGGATTCCATTGCAAAGCAAAAAGGCCAGAGCCTCAGCTGGGGTAAAGGGGTGACGCGCCCGCCCATGACGTTACGGGAGCTCTGTTGCTTTACACCGAATGCTGTAAAACCCGTAAATCAGAGGCCCAGTAAGTCCAGGAGGTGGTTGGAGGCAGATGCCTGAGGGGTGTAAATCAGCTCTCTTGAAGCCGGTGAAGCGGCACTGATTTTCACCAGCTGAGGATTTGGCACATCTGTCATACCAATGCATGTGTGTGGGGTTGAAACACTGGCAGGCTGTAGGGACAGCTTGGATCCCAGCTAGGGTGACCAGACAGGGGGTGGGGGATAATAGGAGCCCATATAAGAAAAAGCCCCCAAAATCAGCACTGTCCCTATAAAATCGGGACATCTGGTCACCCTGATCCCAGCTCGGAGGGTTGAAGAGATTTTCCTGGTGCCTAGAACAGACTCGCCCAGGCACAGGAGGGGGCTGTCGTTCATTTCACTTTGTGGGCATGGTGTTAATACCCCCCCCGTGCGAGGCGAGGCTGTTGGGCTTTACACACCCACTTGAAAGGCCGATCGCACCTCACCGGGGATGGGCTGGCGCGTGTGGCCCCCCCGGAGCCAGCGTTGAACAGCGCTCACCCAATCGCGGCGCGTTTGGCTCCAGCTCCAGAATTAGGGAGCGTTCAGATCAGGGGCTTTGTTTTTGCCCTTTTTAGACGTACTGGGCCTGATGCGTCACGGGGCTTCGCCCGTTTTACCTGGGCTAGCATCAGTGGCGTAAAACGGGAGTAACACTGGAGAATCAGGGCCATGAAGTTTAGCTCCTGCTAGAAGCGAGGCCCGAGCTGGCTGCATTGACAGCAAAGGAGATTCTTTACTCGGGCAGCTGGGCACGGACAGACTCTGTAGGGTTCTCTCTCTAGCGCCCAACAAATCCAGCCTGCCGTCACCGCCCAGGTCTCCCCGGCTTGTGGCCTGGATTAAGCTGACGGCTCTCTAGTCCGAGCTGTCCCACGTATGCTCTTGGTGAGGGGCCCTGTCTGGCATGGTGGTGTCAATCTGCCGTGCTCTGTGCTAACCCGGTCTTCACAAGCGCTGCTCCCTGCTGGCCCGCCCCCGCCCGAGCCCCTGTGACTTTACCCCTGTGCTTTCAGACGTGGATGAATGCACTGGCCCGGGCCACGGCTGCAGCCGGCATTGTGTCAACACGCCTGGGAGCTACGGCTGTGCCTGTCGGGCTGGGCAAAGGCTCTCCGCCGATGGGAAATCATGCCAGGCTTCGGAGCCACCCACTGAGACAGAGGCCTCCCCCGCCCTCAACCGATCAGGTAACACAGCATGGGCTGGAGCTAGTCCGGGGGCATGTTACTGCTTGGCTGAATGTTAATTGCATAGCCGTCACCAAAGGGTACGAGGCAGTGGGGGTCTCTAGGCGCTAGAGCGGGGGTCTGGGAGCCAGGATTCCTGGGTTCGATTCTGACGTGTGACCTGGGCCAGTCACGCACCCACTCTGTGCCTCGGCTGTAAAATGGGGATAATGGCTTGCTGTGAGGTTTAACAGATTACTGGGCGAGACCCCCCCAGCTGGTGGGACTTAGGGGCTTTGGAAGCCAGCTACTGGCCAGGCCGGAGACACAATGGCCAGCGGGGAGACAACTGGGTCAGCACAACGTCATCTTTTCGCTGCGTGTGACTCCAGAGCCACGAGGACGGGAGTGACGGCGACGCTGGTGCCGGCCCATTATTACTTTTGGTACGCGCTGTGACACTTCAAACTCGTACCGTGAGTAATAATGCGCTGTGGCCAGCCCTGGCGACTAGACAGGAGCAGCACGGGCGGAAGGGCTGCGCCTGCGCGTACGGCTGTGGAGGTGATCCCTGCGGCCTGCCCTCTCGGCTTTCTCCTCTCCAGAGCCCCTTTGGGGCAATCTCTGCCATCTCCTCCTGGGCTATTGCAGCAAGTTTAGCAATATGGCTAAGATTTTGTCACGGTAAAAGTGACGCACGGATCACGGGCAGCAAACAAAAATTCACGGGCGCCCGTGACCTGTCTGTGACTTTACTAAAAATAACCAGGGGACAGGGCTAGGTAGGGGGGAGGAATGACAGCTGGAGTCCCAGGGGGTGGGAGGGACTGACAGTCTGAGCCCCACTGCCATGGGGGGGGGCGCACAGCCCCGGATCCAGCAGCCGCAGCCATGGGGGGTAGCCACAGGTGGGTGGGGCTGGCGGCAGCCGGGGGGCAGGGGCACACAGTCCCAGGTCCAACCTCAGCCACAGGGGGAAGGGGGTGTAACAGCCCTGTGAAGCCGCGAGGGGGGCGCACGGCCCTGGCCCCTGGTGGAAGCTGCAGGACGGGGAACACGGCCCCAGTTGCAGCCCCCGGTGGAAGCCGCGGGGCAGGAGAGCGCATGGTCCGGGTTCCAGCTGCAGGGCAGGGGTGCTGAAGCCGAAGAAGTCACGGAGGTCTGGTGAAGTCACGGAATCTGTGACTGCTGTGACCTCCGTGACTACACCGTAGCCTTATTTATCACTAATTCCGTCGTGGTACAAGGTGCACAGTTCCACCCACTGCCCCGGTTTATCTCTAGAGTGATGCAGGAGGCAGAGGGCTGAACGGGAGAGAGTCCCACCCTCTTGAGCAAATTCTTTGCTACGCCAGCTGCCCAGCCCTGAGGACAGCAGCAGTGCGGAGGACGGTGCTCTAGGCAAGGTGCAGGTGCCATTTTCCTCTCCACACGGGGTAGATACAGCCCCACTGAAGTCAATGGAGCTGTGCCGGCTCGCCTCCGCGGTGGAGCCAACCCTGGTGTTGCTGTCATCCAAGCCCATGGAAGGGTAGGACATACCGTGCATACACCACAGCCCAGCCTAGCAATACCTACTCCCTTCAGGAGACCATCAGTGGCTAGTTGTTTGGGCTTTGCGGACGGGGAGCGGGCTCCAGCGAGCTCATTAAGTGAAAGCACGGCCCTGCTAAATTGCGTCTGCACAAGGACAATTGCTAGCACGGGGTAATGAGGCATCCCATTGCTAATTGCACCTGGCTGCAGCCCACTGTTGTGTGCCGGGTGTCAGACCCTGCCTGCTTTGCTGGAGGAGGGCAGCTCCAGGGCCCTGTGGATCGCAGACCCCAACCTGCCCTTTGAAAACCTGCCGAAGCCAAGGAATGAAAATGAATCACTTTTGAAATATCTTTGGCACCTGAGCATCTCTAAGGAAAAGTGTCAGTGGCTGACTGCCTTCTCTTAATTAATACCCTTTGGTGGAAACACAGGAGGTTACTTCAGGGCTAAATTAGTTGCAGCCGGACAATAATTCTAAACATTCATCTCGTTCCTGTTCAGAACAAAGGTAATTCCCCTCCCCCCCCCATCACACACACATTTTGGACCCATGCTTTGCTACTCTGTGAGGGGAAAAGGTGAACTGGTCTCAGCCTGAAGAGCAAAGGCTGGTTGGAGTGTGTGGGGTAACGTGCCCATCAGGATTAGGGTCAGAGGCTGGGGCTTGGACAGCTTTCTGTGTTCCAGTGCCTTGTGATTTGCTACACTGCAAAGACCATGTTCTTCAGTAAGAACCAGCATTGCTTGACTATACTAGTCGCTTGGTTGCCTGGTTTGGGCCAGATTCTCAGCAGGTGGAGGATCCAGCCTAGGGAAATCTCTGCAAAAAAAAATATCAAAGGGCCAAATCAACTGCCCAGCCCCAGGGAAGTCAGTGGAGTCATAAGATAAAAGTGGGTTCCCCCCCCGGTCCCCTGTACAACAAACCCACTTGCAGGAGCATAGAGGAGCCAAGCATGCAGAAGGCACGTTCATGCGTGACGGAGACCTTGCCCTGCAGCCCACCCCGCTGCTAGGACCATCCAGAAGTAAGAAGCCCGAAAGCCGAGGCCGTGCGAACGCATGGTGCAGAAGCTCTTTAGGAGTGTAAATCCCAGGGCAGAATGGTCTCAGAATAAGGGCAGATTAATTAGCTTCCAGGGGTCAGGCACAGGCGCTCCTCCGTGGCTCAACTGAGGGCAGGTGTGTGTTTTCAATCAGCCACTGGTGTCCTGGCTGGTCATTACTGCCCAAGCCCCTTTCCACAGTTCCTGGATTAGTTGAGGCGGTCGGGGGGCTGCTGGTAAACTCTCGGCGGGGATTTCTAGCTAGGACGTAGATTGATATAGGGGACGCCAGAACTGTCGCTTGTTTTCATTCCTTCAGCTGCTCAATGAACTGGGTCTCAACAAGCACGTCAGAGTGTGGCATGTGGGGTGGCAGAGAACAGCCTGCTCATTCCCTCACTCTCAGGCAGACCTCCGGGTTAACCCTTCGGCTGCTGCTCCCCCGCGGGTTGCCAGTGGCACCTGTCCAGGTTTTCCCAGGATGGCTGGGAAATCCGCCAGGGGGCTCAGTACACACTGCCACCTCCGCCCTTTTAGGGGCTCCTGGGTTTTTTGCACCTGAGAGGTGGCAGCCCTCGCTCCGCCATCACAGCCCAGTTTTAAGGATGACGGTTCACTTTAAGGGATTTTATTAATTCCTGTGGTGTTTTGCTCATGGCAGGCGCCTCCAGTGAAATGAAGGAAGAAATGCAAGCCCTCCGGAGCCGGGTGGAAGTGCTGGAGCAGGTGAGCCCCCGTCCGTGAGTGCAGACAGAGATGCAGGCACTTGTACCTCAACCTTTTTTCACTGCCCTTTTAATTCAGAGTATTTGGCTCCAGCACCTCATTGCACAGCTGTTCACATCTGGAATTTTTGCCCTTCGCCGGCTCTATTTTTAATTTCGCCACCTCATCTAGTCTTGGCTTCTGGTATCAGCATTCCCCGCCGCGCCGCCCACCGCTCGCAGCAAACACTGTGACAACTCTCCCCACCAGGAGCCCTGTTAGCACTAGTCAACTACCCCAACCGTCAGCTCTGCCAGTCCGGGAGATGGCTGAGCCGGCCGTATCCGCTGCTGGCAGGTCACGCTGGGTGGCCTGATAGTGTAATGGAGAGGGATGAAAACTAACAGCTCCTCTCTCTCTCAAAAGAAACTCCAGTTACTATTGGCTCCATTCCATAACCTCATGCCATCGGCAGCAGATGACGTTAGCACAGACCCCATCAGCCAGCTGTTCTACTCCCTGCGGCAGCTGGATAGAATCGAGTCCCTGAGTGAGCAGATCTCCTTCCTGGAGGAGCGACTGGAGACATGTAAGTAGCGAGGGTAGTTTGGCAGTGCTCAGCAAGGAGAAGGCCCTTGATTCTGGTTATTGCTAGAGATTGTACCCCTGCACCTTTTGCTATGACAGTGACACTGCCCTAGACACCGGGTCTGTAAGGTAGACATGGTCCTGCTGCTGAATTCTAATCCCCGTTCTACCACTGGGTTAGGGTTACAAGCTCACTTCAAAAAGCCACGTCCCTAACTTGCAGGGAGCAGGTGGAACAGTGACATGCTCTAACTGGCCCCTTTTTTGTGCATTCCTAATGGGTAAATCAAAGTGCAAATGCCAGATTGCTTCCCTCTTGTAAAGCAGATCTAAGAAGTAGAACGGCAGACATACCACGCACGTGCAGACCAACTGGATCGGTTATGTCTATGCCACAGTTAATCTACTTCTACGCCAACTCTCAAACCATCAGCTTGTAATTAATAAAAGATGGTTGCAACCAGCCAGCGTTTCATTTCAAAGCTGTTTGTGTGGGGGCTGAATCCGATCCCTTCATGCAGCAGCCAAAGATAATAAACAGCTGCACGGAGATCACATAGTTTTGGGCAGTGGCGAGGGTATATATTATCTCAGCTCCTTTTCATGCCACTGCTGTTCAGGGGCCATAAGCATCTACATCAGAAACTGCCTCAGATCCTAGGGTTTGCGGGTGCAGTGTCAGAACTCAATCCTTAGTGAAACTCAATTCAAAAGTTAACAGTCCAGGTGAGTTTGGTGAGTACAGAACTCGTCCAAATCATGAGTACAGGGAACGTTGAGGGAAGTTGCGCCTAAAATTCTACAAGCCGTTTTTTTTTTCTGCAGCGCAGCAAATCCGTGTGGTTTAGAAAAGGCAAAATTGCACCACAACTTTGAACAAAAGCATTTGATGAAAACCTTCGCTTCTGAAAAAGTGTAACTAGCTGACTAAAGACCAGGCAGGGGGCTTAATTTCCTACCAAGATGTTTGCAGCAGCTGTAGTTATCCAGCTAATGTGTGGGTCCTGGAAATTAACCCAGCCTGGTGAAATAAGTATCAACATAATGTTTGCTGTTAATTTCAGCGTACAGCCTGGTATAAGTTTGTGTTTTCACACAGCTGCGTTAATTTCAATGTACAGAGGCGTTAGTGGAGCACTGCTCCTTGGGATAGGAGAATGTTTTATTCCCCATTACAATTTTGAAGTGCTTTGTTTTAGTATGCAATTTGCCAGCCATTTACAACTTTTGCATTTGAAAGCCTTTTGTTTTCCATTAAATGCTTTTGATCAAACTTGCTGAGAAACCCGCTCATTTGTCCACTCAGGAATTGGTGTGCACCAACAATACAGCTTAATTCCTGATTAGTTACCCTGCCTCTAAACGGTTGAGGAAGTCCTACAATATACCTAGTTCCAATATAGTTGCTTATGTGCGTAAGAACACGGGCCCTACAAGACAAAGTCAATTTTCAGCTGGTTCCTGTTATAAAGGGGCAAAACTTTTTCTGTTATTTGCTAAAAAAACAAAAACCCCCCATAGGTTGGGGGGAAAGTGTTACAGGGGTTGCTCTGTAGTGATGTTTTTTGAAATAGGCTCACTCTGTCTTTTAAGGACACATTCTTATCACCAGCACAATACTGGAATGTGGAGCTGTAAACTGGAATATTTCCACACTACCTTGTGATGTTGCTTAAAGTTCACAACTGTAACTAATTTGTGCCAGGCCCCATCCTGCCCCATGGATGTTTTTTCCCTTTTAAAACAAGAAGGTTGAAAAATTAAGATGGAAACTAAGACCCATCATGCTAAATTAAATAGTATTGATAGTGCAAAAACCTGTCACTGAACAGGGCTTAGAAAGGTAGCTGGAATTCCCTTCCTTCCATCCTCAGCGAGACTCCAGTTTTTTAAAAAGTGGTGTCCAAAGGCTTCAGTTGCAGGCACAGTTTTTCTTCCGCACTGCTCTATGGTTGGGGTACTTGGCCATCTACATGGTAAGCAATCAGCAGCCACATATAGAAAAATGTAGCTGTTCTTGGTTTAGAATCAGGCCTGTCATAGCTTGGCGACTCTACAGCAGTGAGATAAGAGTGACTTTTGGATACCCCAATTGTACTGTGTGCTGCAAATCTGAGCCCCTGGAGAGTGGAATAGACACGTTAAATGCTTTGTGGATAAAAGACCAAATAACAAGGCCCTTAATGTTAGTTGAAGCTAGAGGGTTTTAGGTGGTTTGGAGGGTTTTTTCCTATGGTTTAATAGTTTAGCATTTGATATTATTATAAGTTTGGATTTAAATTCATTCCCAGACTGACTGTGTAAGGGTTCTACCCATAAATACCTGGGATCTTCCCTGAAATCTAGGACTTGATCAGCTGTGCTGGTCAAAAGTTACCCCTTTACAAGCAATCTGAGGCTACGTCTTCACTACCCGCCGATCCGGCGGGTAGCAATCGGTTTATTGGGGATCGACTTACCGCGTCTCGTGAGGACGCGGTAAAATCGATCCCTGATCGCTCTGCCGTCGACTCTGGAAATCCACCTCGACAAGAGGCGGTAGCGGAGTCGGCGGCAGCGGTCGGCTTTCCCCCGTCCTCACCGCCAGGTAAGCCGACCTAAAATACGCAACTTCAGCTACGGTATTCACGTAGCTGAAGTTGCGTATCTTAGGTCGGAACCCCGCTGTAGTGTAGACCTAGCCTGAGGGTGTTTGGACTTTACTTTTTAAATTGGCTGAGCTTGTGACCCTTTACAGTCACACCCAGGAAGTTATACTCGTACAAAAATCAGTGTGTAGACCAGGCCCCAGCCCTCTCACTGGCACCAAGACCGGCCCTGACTAACACTAGCTCTGGAATTGTCTGGTTTCAGGTTCGTGTAAGAATGAACGCTAATAATAATAATAAGAGGAGCAGCACTTCATTGTGGGAGCAGAGTGATTGGTAACCCTGGATTTCCTATCTCAGCACCTCTTGACCCAGCCTGCCGAAAGAGGCCATGATGCCTTCAGGACCACGTGGGATGGAGCCATAAAGAGCTTATTTTGATACGAAGGGCCCTAGTGTGTTTTTCTAAGAATTGAGCTGCTTGGAGACTGATTTTAAATTGGACTTAGTTTTTGCCCTTATGGCAAAGTTGTATGAGATGCTCAGGGTTATAATGCTTTCTTCCAGGTGCTTGGCCAGCTGGCACAGCATCAGCCAGTGCCATACAAGAGACTTGCTAAAAGTGAAACCATGTGGTGCTTAATTTGTTTGTGACTGTGAGGTGAAATCCTGGGCCAACAATTAATCGTGTGGTACAGCAGCATGAGATGATCTGTGCAAGCAGCAGCTTGTGTAGCTTAGAAGCCTACGTTCTTAAGAGAACTAGATAGCCCGACCTTGCTCTTGCTGACACCCAGGGGAAAGTTTTGCCTAATCACACATTGCTTCACTATTAGAGGAGAGGGGAGATAGGAGGGCTGGATTCTGCTCTTAGGCTTTTCCACCAACTCCTTTTTACACATGCCTGAAATTCAAAATGGACCAAGTCAAATCTGGTCACTAAAACCGTCCTCCATTTGAAATGCTAGAGGGGGTGGGAAGAGGATAGATAGAATCCCTTTGCTTCTTAAAAATTGGCTTCATTTACACACTGAAGCCTGGCACACTTGCTTGTCTATGTGACAAGATAACCAGTCAGTTTTGCCGGCTAAACCAGTCTTGGCTCAGCCAGGAACGAGGAGGGGCAGAACAGCTGTATTTAAAGTAGGAACGGATGCACATTGCCAGCTTGCTCTGGGTGAAGCCTGCAATGCTCATGCCTCTTTGCATAGTTATCTTAAGGCTGCTGGAGGAAGGATCCTAATGTTTCTAGAGAACTAACGAGTCTTCTATGGTACAATGCTTTCCTACCTGTAAACTGCCAGAGACTTGAGGTTTATTAGCCAAGCACTGTGTAGGGTGGTGCAGTTTTGTATTAAAGTTATGTCCTATACAGCTCTTGAGTATGGGCTTGTCATTGGTTGGTCAAGCTGCTGAGCCATGAATTAGGCGCAGTGGAATCCAGTTGTTTAGGGGTGTTATTCTACCCTAGGTCATGACTTCACTCATGGGAACTTAATGCCAGTTACTGCTGCAGCAGAGGCAGGCTGGGGAGGTTAGCAGCTTCCTTGTGCTTGTAGCCAAGGTGCAACTTGATGTAAATGCACACTTACCCAGGTAGGAAGCTGCTGGTAGAGATGTCTGCATTTCTCCACACCTCCTGCCTATGGCAAGGGGAACGGTTGCAGTAGCATCTCTTTCTCTGCCTGAAGGGGGGCAAGGGGGTCCAGCAGGAAGCTGAGGGTACAAACAACTGTGTAGGGAACATGACCAGCCCCTCCACCAATACATAGGAACATGGACGCTAGATGCCCTCAAGTTACTGGAACCCTTTAGAGTGGTCACCAGCTCTGCTTGAGCCTAGTGGAGGGCCTGCTGCCAGCTGTGCCTACAGCCTATTCCTCTGCCCTGGGGAAATAGGGGAGCAGAAGGGAAGGGCTGGTAAGGAAGTGACTCAAGACCAGCAAATCTTTTCTGCTCATATCTGCTGCTGGTGCTTTTATAGGGAGGAGAGGGTACTTACCTTATATATCCTCAGACATCTGCAGCTGGCCGATGGGATGTGAATCCAAAATTTGTATCTGTCTAGGGCTTTACACACCACACTGTGTAAACAAGTCCTCACTGTAAGAGCTTGGACAAAAAACACCTTTTACTCCCTGATGCAGGAGTCATTGTTAGCAGCGGGAAGCTCACTCCAGCTTTCAGTGCTTGGTTACGAGAACACTAAAGATTTTCTACAAAATTGGTAATTAGGCAGGATCTCTGCAGTGATCCTTACGGCCATGCAATCTTTGTGCACGATAAATGTCAAACTAACATGTATCCATGTAGTAAATAGCAATGCATTTGAGAGTGGAAGCGGCAGAAACTGCATACAGATTTGGTCCAGACAAGGCTCTCTTCGCCCGTTACCTCACCATGCTCACGGGGCAAACGTGTAGCTAGCGACAGATACTCAAATACCAAAGGGGAAACGGACAATAGTGGGTACATACTCCCCACCCACAGTAAAAGTTCCTCCAGGCAATAAGTTCAACCCAACCTGGGTTCTAATAAACCCCCACACAAGACTTTCTATTTAAATAACTGCTTTATAAGAACGTACATTTGATCAAACATACATTGTTTAAACAACTAAAAAACAGAACAGCAGACAACGGCCTTTGTGCACGCTCAATCTCTTTTCCCACTTCGGTCATAAACAGACAGACTTAGATTTATACATCTGATACAGAGTCATCTTTGGCCAAAGAAAAATATCCACCCGTTACGACCACCCTACCCTCCCAACTGCTCACCCTAGACCGGAGCCGCTGGGCAAGAGGGAATGAAATCTCCACAAGAACTTGGATGTTTGCCTCAATTACATAGCCACTTTGTCTGCCATTCTTATGGAAGGAAAAAAGAAAGCGCTGCTTTGGATTTCAGAACTGAAAAGCAGGAGGATTGCTTTCTTCCACTAGGTCTGTACTGAAATCAGATTTCACCAGATGGATGCTCGAATATTCGTTTGTAAACACAGCTCAACCATGTGGAGCTACCTCCTCCCAGCATCCTCTATTTGGTTTCTCCCAGTTCTGCATTAGTGCTTTTTAAGCATTCGATTTGGTGTCCTTTATAGAAAAAACAGGAATTCAGTGATTGAGACAGCATCATCTCCAATGCCACCCACTGAGCAGGAGGCTTGGGGATGATGCATTGCACCAGATTACTTGACATGAAGAGATGCACTGCCTTGGTGAGCTTGAGGCAACATTCCCACAAGGCCACTAAGCAAATCCCTGGAGTTTTCATGGCCAAAGCCTGCTCCCCCAGGGAGCATAAACATCTCTGCTGGTACTCCCTTTGAGGAGCTCGACACTTCTACCGCTGGGTGAGGAGAGTCAAACTCAGTTACCAGGAATCCCTCTAGCTGCTATTTCCCAGCTGGCAAATTCACACCGAAGGAAACATTGATTCAGGGCCATCATACACCTCTCCCATCCAGCACGTTTTACATCTCCAACACCATGGCTTTCGCCTAACACTAACAGTCCTAGTAAGGCGAATCTTCCGAGACACGTTTGTATGGCAGGCACTGTCTTTTGGTCAATACTTCAGATGTGCAGTGTGTCGAACAGCACAGCATAGCCCTTACGAAGCAAGAGCAGCAACAAAGTCTAGGTACAAAACCTAGATTAAAAACAAATTTTAAACAGAACATTTGAGCACTGAAAGTGTTGCAACAAATACCAAGGAAGTGCCACATCTACCCTTCCCTCAGCCCGTCATACCTGGCTTTATGCGAAAAGCAAGCCATCAGGTGGAGTACACGAGTATATACTAAGTCAGGGATGCTGGCTGTAATGCAAAACAATGGGGATGAGCAGAGAAGAGTCCCGGTCTCTTTGTGGGTTGGTCTCATCCTTTTAGTTTAGTTCTTGACATGTTAACGCATCACTTACAAGCCCCAGGGATTTTGTTGAGAGATAGCATCCCCATCGAGGTTTGCGTTATAGCAGCCACCAGGTTAAGTGTTTGGATAAAAACCTACCAGGACACTATACAGCAGGCTTGGTTGGGTTTTTTAGGTTTCCACGTTTCCCACTCCTACGCCATCCCTAAATGAGTCCACATGGAGCTTGTCCACTCAGTGGACACGGAAACTTGACTTCATTAAGGGACAGCATCAAGAGTAGGTGGCCCCATAAGGCCCACCTGTCCTAGCCCAGAGAACCTGAAGGAAGCCTTAGGCTGCAAGATTGCTAGAAGTACTGCTGGGGAATTCACTCTGTCTGGAGAGCGAGTAAGGGACGGACATCTGTACAAAGCTTGCCCCAGGACTTCTGGTAAGAGCATTCTGCACATTTCAGTTTCCCTGCTACGTCCTACAACTTGGCCATTCCATCAGGAAGGGGTGAGTGGTTGGTCTCCCATCTTTGTCTCTGAGCAGAATCAGATGCTTAGTGTCTTTAAAAAAAAAACAAAAAACCCCCAACAAGTTGATTTGGCAAAAACCAAATTGTGTCTGAGGTGAGAGTCGAGGCTAGGAAGAATGAAAGAGTGCTGGGCAGAGACCTTAGAAGCTGAATTTCAGCTGTGAACAAGATTTCAACTAGGGCATCAGTCCCTGCCAGTAAGCGCTGGGAATGCACAACCGCATGGAGAGCGCCATCTGAACTGCTCCCACCCTCGCCTCCTCAAGCACCAACAGCTAGGGACAGGATGAAAGCGAGTTTTAATCATTTGGAGGCTGCAAAGATGTACCTAACACGGTCTTCGGCATCCAACGGATTGGCTGTGGCAAGTGCCAGGCTTACAGTGGTCGGTGCCAGGACCTTAACACGGTGTTCTGCAACACCTACTGTCCCAGCTACCTGAACGTGGCAGGAGCTCGCAGAAGAGTTCACTGCACTGGGCATCAGCACTAGCTCTTGTAGGGTGTTTGAGAAACCGAGTGCAGGAGACACTTCCCCAGGGGAGAGAAAGAACCCACAAAAGAGATTCACCGAACAGTAGAACTGGCCCAACAAATGGGGTTTGTCAACTAAGGTTACCCTAAGCAGAGGCTTAGGATTTGCCCAAACCTGCTGCAAAGGAAGGGGAGAAACCCCTTGGATATTTTGGCAATGGAAATAGGTCCTTTCAGTCCCTGCTATGTGGGAATACTATTGTTGAGGGCCCTGCGTTGAGCCATTCGCCTCACTCGCTAGGCCAGATAATCTGAAAAAGGTCTCCCTCATGGTGCAGTAGCATCTCTCCGTGAGGTCGGCGACATCCTCGGCCTTCAGGCCCTTGGTCTCAATAGGCTGGAGCACCTCAACCCGGATTTTACCTAGGAACAAGAGAAGAAACTCAAGTTCTGCATTTGGCCATTAGTCATAGGGAGGGTGGAGAATGGCTAAAATACCAGTCATAATCCCCACCTTCACAACCCCCGGGAGCCCAGCAGACGTGGCCATAGCAGACAGCATAGCAAAGC